CCGTTGCTCTGTCAAAAACCTTAGCTCCAGGAATTGAAGCAGAGCTACAGTGCCTCAGTAAATGGATGAATGTTTACAATTCAAACCTTACACAGGTTGAGATAATGCCTTCTGATTTTTTCAACTCGATTCACCAGAGGATCATCAGGGCTGACATGGATAAAGAATCTGTCATTCCAAGACAGTTATGAATAGAAAGAGTAAAAGAAGCCTTATTATTCCTAGAAGGAAAGCTGTAAAAATCCAATTTTTAGGTTTAAGGTAATAACCGTGGCATTAGGAAGTTTAGGTTGTAACATAGCAGTTAAGTAATGTAACGAAAGCACAGGCAAAGGCATTCTCAGGTGAGAGAGTATTGTTTGTGCAGTAAGTTTGAATAATATAATTTAATTTGAATATATGAAATGAAAATCCATGTTCTTCAGAATCTGAAGGATTAGGATTAATTGTGCCATCACCCTGTGAATCGTAATATCCTCCACCCCCCACCACCCCTCCCTTCCTTCACCTTCAATTAATGTTATCATATATGAGCGTAGTACGGTGTATGCACCTGTTATGTCCGTGGCGTACATACAAGTACTGTAGTTTGATATACCGGTACTCTATATATCCTAATGACATTGTTCTTGGAGAGAGATGCCACTCGCACTAAATGTCATTTACTACGGACGCAGGTGAAAACAAAGATTTGAAAACCTTACCATTTACATTGTCTTCATCGGCAACTTTATTTCCGCACATTTTAACTTTCTAATACTTATTTACTGCTTGTAGCTGATTGTTAACGTTCACCTGTGTAGCTTATTCAATTAATACTAACGGTATCATAGGACGCCTCTTATACAAGCCGACATTTTTTATTCAATTTACGGTCGATTGCTCTCTAGACTTGATTGTCACAATATCAAAACACCTCAACATAAGAGTAAATAAATTTTAGTCTTTATCATCAAGACGTAGACTAAAATTCATATTAATCGAAGGGTTACTTCCAAGAAACGTACCGGTAATTCGAGCTTAGCTAAAAAAAAAGGTTTTAATGAATGGTTAATAGAAGCCACTATAAAGGACCAGTATGCCAAATTGTCATTGTTAAAAACGCTGTAAATAATATGTAAAAAGATTGTAAAAATACATTATTACTCTCTGTATTGTCTTCTTGATCAAGCTGAAGTTGTTTTGAAAGTTTTATATACATGGTTTGCACATATTTCTTAGAATATTAATCTTAAATTGGACTGCACCTTTAGGTGACAAATTGGTTTGTCCCAATGCACAAATTTCAATGGAGTTTAACTTCCTACTCTTGATTTGTCTTAACAGTTTTTTGGGCTCCTCCATACAGTTTTCAATGAGGGTAATTTTGTTTGGATGGCTCCTCTCTACATATCTGACATGGGGAAGAGGGTTAACAGATCTGAAGGTATCATTTTATGACCATGGGCCATCTTTGTGTTATCTTCACAATGTCAAGCTATTTCGAACTGTGTCTGATACCTTGACTGCAATAGCCACTTTTTTTGTATCATCAAGTTGTTATCATTTTTAAGCTGCATATGCAATATGATTTGATTGAATCGTATTCTACCGCAAAACAGCCAATCAGTGCCCTTGCCAGAAATACTGTAATCCAATCAAATTGATTCTTTTACAAGAAAGGTGGCTATTGCAGTCCAGACAATAGAAGAAGTTCGTATCAGCTTGACATTGTAAAGTAGTCAGAAATTCACAATAAGAATTAAACTCATTCACAGGTTTAGCACAATTTATTGGCCATTTGTAAAATACATCATTAATGAATTTATATAGAGCCATAATGGTAAAACAATAATCTTTCATTCTTGCACACAAAATACAGTAGAACCTGTTTTCAATGTACATTGTAACCTAATAGTATATTATCACTGAATGACACAATGAGGGTTTATTCACTATTACACAATCACAAATAATAACACAACACATTCATAAATACCTATTGTCTTAGCAAAGCAAAAAGTTTTCTAAATTTTTTCTGTATTTTTTCAAGAGAATTGGAATATCTGCCTCAAAATAGTACTGTTAGTCTTAGAATGTCTTTGAAGTGGTAAAAATATAAGTTGATATTAAAAAGAAACACACTTATCTCCTAGAAATGTTAACAAAAAAACGTCACAAATTTTAGCTGAAAATTGTCCTCTGTAAAAACAAATTTTGAAGACATAATGTGTGCTCATGTTTATATCTTTATCAATGCACCAGCATTCTAAAACTAATAGTACTATTTTGAGACTGCTATTCCAATTCTCATAAAAATAATAAAAAAAATTCAAAAAACGTTTTACTTTGCTCAAATAATAGTTCAAAACATGCTGACTCTTGACAGATTTTTCATCTTCACAGCGTCAATGAATTACACATTTATTCTTCTACCTTGACATCGTTAGGCACTTTTTTTGTATACTATTGAATACAGCCAAACAAAATAGACTGTAAAGAGTATGGCTGCATATAACTACTAATCCAGGGCTCAAATTGGCTGTATTCCCTAGCATACAATCCAATCAAATCTCTGCATTTACAAACTCCCAAGATACGAGAAAAGTGTTTAATGATATCAAGGTATTCAACAGAGGCATGAAGGCAGTATGAACGTAGTTATATGGTACACATTCTCACTCTCTGAAGATAAAGACTTAATGTATCTGAGTCAGTCACATGGAAAATCATTCAGAACAAGAGGCCCTTCTTTAGAAGTTCAAGGGATCGTAAAGAGGTTGACTAAACTTTTTATTTGTATAGGGGACATTGTATAGGGGAAATATACAGTCAACCATTTCTTTTATTACAGAAACCACATACATCTTAATGAAATATGGAATGATGCAAATTGCAGCCCTGATTATATTCAGGAATTCTTCTCAAATATCAGTTGTATTTAATTCTATTCTTAGAGATGATATTTCTCCAGTAACATGCTCTAAGATTCATGAATTTCTGATTCAAATAATTTCAAACTTGAAATTCTAATGAAGATTAGCTACTATATGCTGTGTGCAATGAGAGCAGCAATAGCCTAATCAATATAAATTAATTTACTTAGGGGACAGTGCGCCATAATTCCATCAAAAATATCTCAAACTGGGAATTTCTTTTCCTATTTCTATAGACAGTGTCTCAAGAAAAAACGAATCGAATTTCTGGACACACATGGATTTGAAGGCTCAAATTTCAATGTTGAGCTGTGAACACTACTACTGAGACTAAGGTACGATTGGTAAGAAAATGGACCCTATCCCTTTAAGTTATATATGTCAAGGGGTTACGTTTATTATCAAAAGAACAAGACATCTTTTACAAATCATTGACTAGGAAATTGGTTTGGTTCTCTCTTTGCCTTCTGGAGAGTTGTTTATTTTTCTATGTGAACACATCAAAATAAAAATACAATCAATATTGCGCAAATACAGTGAAGTCACATGACTTACTATTCACTAGCTTGCTAACAATGTTGAAGAAACTTTCTGAAATGACATTAAGCACTAGTAAGTAGATAAATCTTATATTGAATGTATATCAATATGCCCATAACATAACAACCAAGTAAACTTGTTACTTTAAAGGAATACTACCTCTTAGAATGGACATAAAACTGGAATGGTGACTGGAGTCTGAAACTTGGTCAATATGAGTATATATTCATCAGTTGAACTTACCTGGTGTCATGACTAAGGAATACAATCTCTATATAACATGATACATCAATTAAACAAAGTAATTATTGAAAAACACTTAGAAGCTTAGTTTAACGAATTATTATTTATTTTATGGATTTAGTGGATTATAGATGGATTATGTTGTATAGTTATGACACCAGGTAATCTGAAGAACAAAGATAACCAAGTTTAAAAATTCAATTTAGTTTAGTTTTTTAGTCATCCTAAGAGGTAGTATACCTTTAAGTTATATCCAGGTAGTAAATTAACAAACAAGATATCATTGAGATTGAAACATTAAACAGATAATCAGTCAGGTTATTTCTTACAATGTGTGACTTCTTTTTTAAAATGATAATTTTATGCCATCAAAAAGAAGAAATTTCGTTTATATTTATCAAATTTCTGAAAGCATGAATATCATCTGTTTTTCTGTATTAAGTTAACTGTTAACATGGTTTAAATATATATTATTGCAATCAAAATTCTATAGTATATCACGATTACTGCATATTATATATTGCATTTTGGTGATATTTCAGTATTCATGATTAGGCTTATATGATATTACTAACAAAATTGATTGTTATGGAATTATATCATTCAGATCTACCTAGTAACATGATCAGTGAAAAAATTATAGAGGAGAGTCAACATTATTCATTTTTCATAAAACTTGCACTCACATCAAACACAAGGTTATACTCATTGTAATACAGTTTCACACAGTCCTAGAGAGTTATATGATCAGTTAAAGGCCATATTTCAACATTTTCCAAAGGTTGCTTTGAGCCTTGAATATACATATCAAAACTGTATGAAAATCAATTAATTCCTTCAAAAATACCTCAAACATGAAATTTCACATTTTAATTCTTTCAATAGTTTATCCTCTGCCTGGATATTATGGTACCTAAAAAATGTTGGTCTTGTTGATAAGGTCTATAATTGGAAATATGGTGTACTCATAAATTTTGATTATCCAGTCCTTAACTGTTCTGCATTCTGGAACAGCCTTGAAAAACACAATCGTCCATGTAGTTTTCAAACACAGATAACTATGGATACCCAGTGTTAAGAAGGATAAAATTTTGACAGTAACCTGTGAACACTATTACTGATTAGCTTAGCTAAACAAATCCCCTTCTGAAACCAGGAATATGGTGAACCATGGCCTTTAAGAGAATGGTCGACACAATTAATTCCTTATAAAACTTTCACTCACGTCAAACACAAGGTAGTATGAACAGTAATACATATAACAGTGTTGGAAACAATGTACAATATATACAATTATCTGTTCATATAATGAATGGAATATTAGAAATTTATTTTTTCAGCTGCCTAAGTAGAAACACTGTCAACCGTCTAAAGGTGGTCCTAAATAAATCATAGAGACTTCAGTGTTACCATAAACAGCTGATGCTGCAGGGTATAAATGTGTGTCTGGTAAACCTCGAAAGGCCACCCCTGAAAGTAGATAAAGTGTATAACATTGAAAAAGACACAGAGATATTTAATGTCCTACAAACGTGCTTCTGATTGTGCTAATGAAGACAGACAGCACCATGGAGTGCATCTTCACAGTGTCAAGCTTTTCCAAGCTGCGTTTAATATCTTGACTCAAATAGCCACCTTTCCTGTATCTTGAAAGTTTGTAAATATAGCTATTTGATTGGACTGATGCTAGCAGATGCAGCCAATCAGAGCCCTCTAAAACCTGCTGTAAACAATTTGTCTGAATGAGTTATAGTCTATGTTTGGCTTAATTTGTTGGCGTAATCAATCAAAACCCTGTATTTACAAACTTCTGTAACACATGAAAAGGGACTATTACAATAAAGGACAGGACAGCAGCATGTAGCATAAGGGCCTCAGTACCATATAAATGTACCGGTAACTGTTATATCATGAAGTTCAATTCATAGGTCAACATATAAGACAATGAAATGATAAGTCCAGCAAATATATTTATACATAACCAAGTCCAATTCAAGAATGACTCATAATATAAATACAACCAGTCCACTTAATTCTTTGAAAGTCTAAGCAGTAAGCTTAATAAACACAATGCCAGTTTAGTCTGTCTAGTTTCATTCTACCTAAAATAAAGTGGACTGCTTGTGTAAATGTTATGAATCAAACCTAGGTGTGAATAAATATCTTTGCTTGTCTAATTATCCATTTTTCAAATTGACTCACCTAAAAATTCAAAATTTTTTTCAAAAGCTAACGTATTGTCTTCACAATCTAATATAACTTTTATTTTTTCTCCCACCTGCAAACAAAAAAGACTACTGTGACTTCTTTTATATTTTTAAGGTGAATCGGGCATGTAAAAGGGATTTCAAACAGGTTGTCTCAATTTTGTATGTGTATCAGGGACACTGACCTCTGACAATATCAATCTGCAACATTCCAATTTTCAATCAGATGTCTGTGGTTCCTGCTATTTCACTAAAACTAAGCTTTTTCCACATTATTCATTACGACTGCATCACTGACAGGAGGAAGACGGTTTGTAAAAGTTGAAGGTGTTATCTCAACCTGGGGATTGAACACTGGATTTCAGCTTAGTATGCAAGTAACTAGGCCTAACTCACTGAGCCACCACTGCTCCCCAAATATCATTTAATAGAAAGTTAGATCTAGAAATATTCTAATAGAACTGGAATAATGTTGTTACTCAAGTTTCAAGATCTATAATCAAATCATAAAAAGAATGTGTTTTTGCAGACTATTTTAGATATTTCTTCTTACACTCCAAAATTTCTGTATGTCTATCAGACTCTTGAAGTTTTAGACAACTGGCACTAAGCAAAAACATCTTGACCACAAATGTCATATCAACATGCCATCAATCAAATCAAGCCCTCACCTGGGGCGTCTAGAAACAAACTCAGAGATCACATTTAACTTTGAGCAACTGCCCTTATAGTTAAAGGTCCACTGGTAGAACGTACCTGGTATTTTGGTGCGTTATTTAATTGTGGATAATTTCCTTGGCTATCCCCATTGTGAAATAAATGATTATCTACAAGATTCCAACCCCAACTTTGGTCATCACATCCAATTAAAGGGACATAACCTTGATTTTGGGTTGGTGTCCCTTTGGCAGCCAAGCCTATCATAGCAACTGTGCCAAGAGGACCCTCAAACCACACTTCCCAGCAATGTCTTCCAGTTTTAAAGCCTATTTTCCCCCGAGCTCCATCAGTACTTTGAGCAACAGGGTTCCGATGTATAGTAAATCCATCAGGTTTCACATAAATGTTTCTTGAGCAATCATTGGGGTTCCATGAATGAAATAATGCCCTCAATTTAGCTTTGTAGGTTGGCACACTGCTCAAAATGTCAGATCTTAGGGCCTCTTCTGCTAATTTTCTCACACAATGTAACCTCCAAACGTCATTATTTTCATCATTTAAGAATCGATACCAAGATTTACACACAAGAGAACAATTTCTAAGATCGGATATGTCAAGGAAAGAGAATAATACTTCCAACACGCGAGGGGGTAATTTTGCAGCAGCCATGACAGCTAATCGGGAAGTACATAGTAGTACCAGACATCCAGACGAACGAATCGTTTTCCCTTCTAATGATTTTACTTGATAATCGAGGTCGCGTTATATCTCGCTGGCCTTGAGAAACATGGCTGCGCCCTCTAAAACAGTTTCTGAACTTTTAAGTCTTTGGATAAATCTGCATTTTTAACTTCTAAATAGGAATATTTCTCTGAAGATCAATTATTTCTGAATAAGTGGGTAACGCTGCTACTTTATGAAGAGATTGTCAAAACGCGTACGGCAAGGCGGCCAACGCGTACTCCGCTTTACTGGATTATTTTTGGACTAAATACCTAGCTACAGATCAGTCTAAATATTATTTTCATTTTATATAGTGGTGTAACCTATTTTCGTGCATATAAGGATTCAGCATCGAATTTGTCAAAGTTAAAAAAACAGAATTTTTTTTTATGTCTTAGATGTTTCCTCAGATATTCTACATAATAATTAAACTTCGTTTGTTTCAATTTTCTTTTTGAATCCCTCATTTCATGAGTAACCAACTCGACAATGGAGGCAAAATGTGTCACCTATTTTCGTGTGCAATGTTTGATCTATAAATAAGTCGGGAAAAGCACGTTGTATAGATACCGGGTGGTATAATTAACCTCTCTTAGTATTTATCTTTAATATCAATTCATTATAACTAGTGACAATTCCTTCAAAGAACCACGATTTCAAAGAAAAAATAGTGACTGACAAAATAAGATACGTAGCGCAATTTATTGCTAAAAGTCATTAGAATAAAACAACATAAGAAAATGGCCCGCTTTGTGTTCTACAGAATTGTTGATCACGTGACTACATTCGTTGGACTACATTCTAGCAGGCGACACTTGGAATTCTGATTACAGCTAGGGATTATAAGGAAATTCGACGGATAAAAAATTGTGACGTTTGGTAATTAGTGAAATGCGCCATTTTGTGTTTGTCAAAGTATACATTAATAGATTTTACCTTGCTTGAAACTACTGGATTCATTCTACTAGCTGACATTGTACAGATAACCCATGATTATCAAAACAAGCAAATGCGTAGGTCAGACGAGGTCACACATATAAATTATTAATCCTTTCCGGAAATGCTTGAAAAATAGGTTAACACGAAATTAGGTTACTTCAAATCCAACCTGATGAAGCATAATATTCGTCACTGTTGCCGCTCTTAGTGTATTACAAACCATGATAATATGATTAGATTATATGATTTATTTCACATCTCTTTAATTGATATCTGTGCATATATACAGATTAATTAAAGATTTAGTATTTGGTGAGCAGCACATTTGAATTTAGTCTGCTACTGTTTCTGCTTTACTAAATCTTTATAGCCATAATAAGTTGTTCATTCGAAGGGCAATGGTTCACCATTTTTGGAGGTGAATTGTACCTTGGGTTGGCCTCTGAAATGGGAATTGTTTAGCTAAACTAATCAGTAATAGTGTTCACAGCTTAACGTCAAATTTTAGCCATCTAATCCATGTCTATCTCTAATGTGTACATTGACTCGCCTTGCCTGCTTCAAGACTGTGCCATAATGTAGAAGGGTTCAATACTGAATAATCAAAAATTATCTGTATACAGTATTTCCTATTATACACCTTGTCTATCAAACAAACAATTTTCGCTTACCCTAATTTGCAGACAAAGGATACATCATTAATTAGTAAAAAAAAATTGAGATTCCCAGTTATAGGTATTTTTGATGAAATTATGCGATTTTTGTATAGTTCTGGCATTTATAGGCCCAAATCAATCTCTAAAAATGGTGAATCTGCATAATAACTTAACTTTATTTTTCAGAAATATGAGATTAAAAACAATCAAGTTTTTGACAAAGGCTCATAGATCAGCTTATTATTTGGATCGAAGATATGTTTCCAAGTTGTCACCTTTGGCTCAAATATTCAACACAAAACCAACACCTTCTAGAAGTTTCAAACTTGCAAATGTGGTATGTCAGATTATAGTTATCTAGGCCTAGGGCTGATATACTTGTAATTAGTAATATCACCCAATTAAAAAATACTGTAATATGCCATATTGTGATGTATCTTAAGATTTTTGTTCAGATGAGATCATTTATACAATTTGAACTAGTAGCCTACTTGTATCTTAATATTTGAAACAGATGCTTTTTTATGATATTAAAGACTAGTTATTTTTTTTAAGATATTTATTGTTTTTTGTAACATTTTAAAAAAAAATTTAAGATGTTAATAAAAAAAATTTTGGTTTCAAAAACCATACTTAAATATATCACAACAAATACCCGTATCGTGATATAGTCTTTCTAATTTTGATTGTGAAAAGTCAGAAGCATTCCTAGAATTGATTTTTACTTTATCAATTGGGAAAGTGAATATTAAAGACATTTTAAAAAGTTTTTATGTGTATCAGGACACTAACAGCATGGATTTGCAGCATTCCAATTTTTAGACAATTGTGGTTCTTACAATTGTAGAGTATACTAAAAATCATTTCATTATGTCACTATCGCAAAAGCTGTTAATATTATATAAGGCCCTTTGCAATAGTGACATAATAATTACAAGAACCACAGTGGTTTGATTGAAAATTTGAATGGTACATATAGATGCTGTTAGTTTCCCCTATACAATTGAAAAACCTCTTTATGATTCCTTTAGATATTATAAATTTGTTTCATTTTTAGGGATTATTTCAAGTTCCAGATTTAAGTTCTCCTGAAGGTTTTTATGTTTTACAAGAAAATGCCACTGTTCAAATTGAAAAACTTGTTAAAGAAATCATCAAGAAACAACGCAGTCGAAAACTAGTTGTCATTTTTGATGAATTGTCAAATTGCATATGCAAGGTGGCTGATTTGGTAAGCATACAATAAATTCTGAATGATTTGTAATTTCTATTTGAGAACTCAGGACAAGCTAACTAGCATGTAGTTTCTCTGGTAACCTGCAGGAATTTTCACTCAAGATACCACATTTCTTTTCTGGTACATGTTTTTCTCATGTTTTTAGGCAGATTGTGTCCAGACAATACACCCTTGTACTAAGTTTGCAACCGCTGCTGAAGATTGTAGGTACAGACTTTCTGGTCTAATAGAAGAGTAAGTTCATTTGTTTCTCTTAAGTTTGATAACCTTGATACACCAAGAACACCTAGAACATTAATATGGTGTATGAGATTCCTTGATTAATTCCATACAAAAGAATAAAAATGCTTAGTTGATCTAACCAAGAATATGATCCACCATCCAGAATGAATATTGCCAATGGTACTCTATTTCTTGTTACAGATTGAACACAAATACGGATATATATGATGCGTTAAAGAGAGTGATAGAGGAGGGAGATATAATTCAAACTGATGACATAGACCACAGAGTAGCTGAATTATTCCTGTCTGATTTTGAACAGAGTGGTATTCATCTCCCTGAAGAAAAGGTTTAATATTCTTTATTTGATCAATATAGATATAAATAATACTACTTGTCAAACTTCAGCAATGACTCTTGAGTAACAACATGTTTCAGGTTTTGTGTTGAAATTTCACTAGAAAAGGATGTATAGACTTTTTCTGTAATGTCTTTCATGTGATCATACCTTTTATTCAACATAGTTTGCTCCTGATACCATTTTGGTTTAATAGTTTATTTATTTTAACTCTAAATATGATTTTACAGAATAAAAATAAAGTTTATAAAAACAAACCAAGGCTTATGCCAATTTGTCACAACCTGATGCGCTTTTTTGGATGGACATGGACAAATTGTTATTTTTTTTAAAGCAGTGAGCTGAGGCTCGTTTTATTACAAACTGTGCTCATGAAAGATCCCTCAATAATTGAAACTTGTAAAGGAGTTGGTTAATGACAACAGTTTTTTCTCATTGAACACTTTTGAAATGCAAAATAAATGTCTCTTATGTTTTTTTTTTGCAGCGTAAGAAGTTTGTTAGATTAAACGAAGCAATAATGGTATCAGAAAGACTTTTTTTACAAGGTTTAGAAAATCCAAGTGTTTGTTTGAAATCCAACTTGCCAGATCATTTGAAAAATGTGTAAGTGTCTTTCTTCCTGTCTTCCCCCTTTTTTTCCCAAGATTGATTGGTTTTGATGTGTGTAAATTTACAAGTGGGCCATGTTACTAAGCTGTTATATGAATATGATGTCTTGGTATATAGAACACAGTTTTTAATTTCATTTTGTATATCAGATGAGTTCTAATTTCATTGATTTTTGTCACAGAAGTTCTTAGTTATTTCCCTTGATATATCAAATATTTAAAGGCTTGTGAGTACAAAGCTACAGCTTTTTTTAATTTAATGATAAAAAAACAACCAATTTGAGGCATGAAAAGTCTCAAAAATTTTACCCCAATGTCCAGGCCTATCTCAAGATTTTTTTTCACATGTACACATGTATGTTTGGTGGACCTCCAACAATAATAACTATCAGAGGCCAGATACTGAAATTGGTTAACAATTTGCAGTTTTATTGGGTTTTTGAACAAATACATGTAAATAAATGAATTGAATCCATTATCAGTTTCAGTCTAGATGGTGATAATGTGATGATGTTTAGTTCCTATTCTGAACATTATAATGATGATGTACGAGAAGCAGCTTATAAAGTATATCACCAGCCAGATAAAACTCAATTAAAACGACTAGATCATTTACTCTATAACAGACATCAGTTAGCACAGTTGGTTGGTTTTCCATCCTACGGCCACCGTGCTGCCAGAGGCACAATGTTAGCAACACCAGGTACATTTTGGTTTTCCATCATAGGCCCACCATGCTGCCAGAGGCACAATGTTATCAACACTAGGTTCATTTTGTCCATCCTTCAACCATAGTGTTTCTAGTGGCACAATGTTATCAACTGTAGGTTAATTTTTTCCATCCTTCAACCATAGTGTTTCTAGAGGCACAATGTTATCAACTGTAGGTTCATTTTTTTCCATCCTTCAACCTTAGTGTTTCTAGAGGCACAATGTTATCAACACTAGGTTCATTTGTTCCATCCTTCAACCATAGTGTTTCTAGTGGCACAATGTTATCAACACTAGGTTCATTTGTTCCATCCTTCAACCATAGTGTTTCTAGTGGCACAATGTTATCAACTGTAGGTTCATTTTTTCCATCCTTCAACCATAGTGTTTCTAGAGGCACAATGTTATCAACTGTAGGTTCATTTTTTCCATCCTTCAACCATAGTGTTTCTAGAGGCACAATGTTATCAACACTAGGTTCATTTGTTCCATCCTTCAACAATAGTGTTTCTAGAGGCACAATGTTATCAACTGTAGGTTCATTTTTTCCATCCTTCAACCATAGTGTTTCTAGAGGCACAATGTTATCAACACTAGGTTCATTTGTTCCATCCTTCAACCTTCGTGTTTCTAGAGACAAAGCAATGTACGTTTGAGTTTTCCATCCCACACCCAATTTTTAGATTGTTGCGAAAAGGTTAAGATGATAGGGGTAAGGGAGGACACAGGATCTTTGATTGTAGGACCTATTTTATTTGTTGTCTTTCAGAAAAAATAATGGAATTTTTAGATCTTGTTAGTGCTAAAGTTAAGCCAAGGTGAGTCTTGTATATCCTTAAAGAAGTCATGGGAAGTCATGAACATTTGCATCCAACAAAATGCAACCCCGACACAATTATAGAATAGTTAAAATGCTTATAGTACTGAGATAAACATTATTATATTGTATGATGCCTTTAATGGGTGTATTTGATACAATAAACTTATGTTATTTTTTTTAATATTTTTACAGTGCAGCAGAAGACTATCAAAAGATATTGGAATTAAAAAGACAAAGTGGTTCAAAGGACAAGGTCAGTCTTAAGTTATTGAAATGATATAAGATTGATGTTTTTATTCGAATGATTCTTTTTGAGATCTACTTCTAGTTAGCCGTCTTCAATGATGAGCAATATATATTGCTATGACACATTTTTCCATCAAGTGTATTGACTGAACTGGACTTAAAAAAGAAGTTGCTCAGATCATTGAAATTGAGTAGAGTTGCCCACAAAAAAGCATGAAACACAATGGAATTTACTCAAGATTTATTATCAAATAGTGTACTTAATTCCTTTTATTTGAAATGGAAAAATATGTCAAATGAATGGTTGATTTCATGTTCTATTGTAGAAACTTAGTCATTGGGATCTAAGCTACTATTCAGCAGTAGGTAGACAAACAGTATTAGATATAGATGTTAACCAGTTAGCACCCTATTTCTCTATTGGTACTTGTATGGATGGTTTAAACAATTTAGTTCAATCCTTATATGGTGTCACCTTGAAACATGTTGAAATTGGAAAAGGAGAAACATGGAATTTTGATGTGTATAAGCTGGTATGTGTTGTTGAAATTTTTCTATGCTGATAAAGACACCTGATACCACTTTTCATTATGAAATACTGACTCACTTATGATTGATATACTTCCTAGTGTGAAAAGTTCATTAGCTGCTACCAATATGTTGTTTTGGATTTCGTTTTTTTTTGCATACATGCAAACATGGTTTCATCATCCCTGTTTTTAACAAAAGTACAGAATCGGCCATGGCTTAAGGAGGTAGACTTAAGTTTGCTGATAGGAAGGTCCAGAGTTTAATTCCAGCATAGGTTGAGATAATGCCCTCATATTTGTTGACCGGTTTTTCCCCCTGTCAGTGATGCAGGTTGGAGGCGCTAACATAGAGAAATTGTCTAGCTGTTCAGATGGGACCATAAATGAAGCCCCTGTATGCTACAGTATCTTACTATTACTCAGTATTAGCATTATTTGGTTATATTTTAACAGGAGGTTATAGATGAACAGAATAACATATTGGGTTATATTTATTGTGATTTCTTTGAGCGAGTTAGTAAACCAAATCAGGTAAGTAAGAAGAGTGAGCAATATATTCACAGTTATACTGTATGTCAGGGTGCAATGCCAGCAAAAATGGTTTGACAGTCTACTGCCCTTTACAGTTTAAAGTCATATTTAATGGTTTGGTTTAAAACGGTGCGCGTTGTATTCATAGTTATACTGTATATGAGCATAGAATATAAGTGGTTTGACAGTCTACTGTCTTTTAGAGTATAAAGTCACTTTAATGGTTTAGTTTAGAATGGTGCGCATTGTATTCACAATTATACTGTATGTGTATGTGTCATAGTTTTATTACTACCAAAACTGACCTCTTGAAGTTCACATTAAAGGAAATTCATTTCAGAAACCAGCCAAGATTTTCATTTGGCATTTCATTTCTGACTGAGACTGAACGTATTTATTGGATGCCTTACATGAGATTTTTTCATCCCTGATTTCATAGCAGGCTTTCTGAGTTATTGCCCTTGACTTATTTAAAAGTTTTGTCAAAGTCTTGGTACTTGCTCACTTAAGAGAACAACCAAAGCTGATATGGATTAAGATAGTCTTCTGTGTTTGAATTTTTGAGTATTCCCACTTCAATTGTCTATTACTTTTAGGATTGTCACTATACAATACAAGGTGGTTGTTTACGTTCGGACGGTACCGACCAGCTACCAGTTGTAGTATTACAGTTAAATTTACCATCACCTCATAGTACCTATCCTTGTCTCCTGACACCGCATATGTTAAATAACTTATTCCATGAATTTGGTCATGCCATGCATTCTGTGTTGGGACGTACTAGATACCAACATGTCACAGGTTAGTTAAAGGGGTGCTGTGGTGGCTTACCGACTTTAAGCTGTCTTGCTTGGAGGTCTGGGGTTTGGTCACTGTATTCACCAACATTGCTATACAGATTTGCTAGCATCTCTACATATGAAAGATGGAAACAATACAGAGTATGCATGTGTTGTTGTCTTCCCAAAATTTACCTTATTGCACACTTCATAGAAATATCAACCATCATAAAGCTAAATAAGTACACAAAAAGTGAGAAAGGAAGTTTTTCTCTTTAAATTTTTACATGCACTAGGTAAAAAAGAAGAACCACTTGTATAGAACACAGGGACTTGCAGTAGCTCTCTGAATGAGACTCAAGCTCACTAAAAGGATTGGAATCCGCTTCCAGCATAGGTCAAGATAATACACTCAGATTTTCCAAACCTGTCAATGATGTAGAGCGGAGAGACTGACATGAAAAAGCATCTTGTCATCAAAAGGATGGGATGTAAAACTCATTTCATAGCATGTAGCAATGTTTTGTTACAGGTACACGATGTTCTACAGATATTGCTGAAGTACCGTCAATATTAATGGAATATTTCATGTCTGATCCACAAGTATTATCAACGTTTGCTAGACATTATAAAACTGGGGAGAAACTAGATTCTAATATCATACAGAAATTATGTGATTCTAAGTCACTCTTTTCTGGTTATGTAAGTACTAGTCCAGATTACATCTGCAAGTTAATGAGATGCTGCAGTCAAAAGTTTGTTATACCAGCTGATAGAGCTCAATGTCAGTCATAACTTTTTAAAATTAAGATCTGACATTCCATTCTCCTTCAATTACAGGGAAAACTTTCAGTTGTCTTTTCAAGCATGTCAATGGCAGAATTTTTAACTGTCTTACCACTTCTGAATTGGTATGGCATGTTTTTTTTTCACTATTTGCAATGAAAGTGAGTCGATTCTACAGATCTTTAGGCTATTTTTCTATTTCTATTTTAGGAAACTCAGTTACAAGTATTTTACTCTGCATTAGATCAAGTTTATCATAGTCAAATACCATCAGATACAACCAAAGTCTTGGCTGAAGTACATACTAAATATTTTGATATTCCTTATGTAGAAGGAACAGTAAGTAACATACAACCTCTTTAGTCTGGTTTCTGAATATTATCTTAATATGATTTCAACGAAGAAAGCTTGCTCACTTAACTAGAGATATTTGGCTTTGATCCAGGTATGAGTTGGGATGAAACGTTTGGATTTTTCAACTTGCTTTTCCCCCATCAGTGATGCAATTAACCTAGGCCGAAGAAATTACCAGCTGAGCATGCTAACTGTTGGCAATGAAACAAGAGAAGACTAATGCAGCTATTCTGACAAAAAATTTCCTCATTTCACACAACATAGTGTTGCCCAAACTGGAGCAGAAACATATTCCCTTGAAATTCATGTCATTTTCTGATAATATCTTCTATGTTTTGTAACTATTCTATATTGCAGGCGTGGCAACTACGTTTTGGACATCTTGTAGGATATGGTGCTAAATATTATTCCTATCTTTTATCAAAAGCTATAGCTTCTACGATTTGGAATAAATATTTTGAAAAGGACCCTTTGAACAGGTATTTTTTGATTCAATATGAATTAAATCCATAAACATTTTTTTTTCTGTATCTACTCGTTTATAAGCAAAGCCCCCTCCAATTTAGGAGAGTTGTCATAGGACTGACTGTAGCTCATTTGTTGAGAGATGGAATTTAGACATTATTTGCTGTGTTACGTTGAACAAAATATGGTTGTGGGCTTTGGTGATGTTAGATATGTCATCTCTCCTCATTGATGTGAATGAGTACAGATAGAAAAAGAAAGACAATTTGGTTGATGTTTTTTTTCAATATTTTATAGATCAATGGGAGAGAAGTTCAGATATAATTTTCTAGCTCATGGTGGAGGTCAACCTAGTAAAGATTTAGTACAGGGTAACATGAATTTTATATACTAAATAGCATGGAAGTATACTTATAGCTTCTAAATGCTTTGAGCACAGACATACTTTACATCTGTGTTCTTGACAACATCTTAAACGATCAATCTCCTGGGTTTTAGTTAGTATACCACATTATTGTCTTCTCTACCCCTAAAAGTCACAGACAGATTTGAAAATATCCTGTGACTTGTTTGAATACTAAACTTTGCTTCACTAATCACATTGTTGTACTTCACACTAGGCTAGAAGAGAGTGACAAGAAAGATCTTCTTGTGTCCATTTTCCTGACGTTCTCATTTTCATATGAAAGGGTGCTACAGTTTTGATTCAAATGCTAGGTCACCTATTGAAGTAGATGAAGTTTATCTGTTTTTTTTTACAGGAATGTTAAATGAAACACCAACAATAGAGACATTAGTGGATAGTTTGGTACCAGATAAAACGCCATGATGATGAAAGAAAACATAAGGTTTACCATTCTACCATGATGGTGATATGGAATCTGTGTGGTTTAGATTTATAAGAACCTTTGTCTATGCAACAGATATGTTCTTGATCTATCGTTGAAGATGTGAAAGCGACAATCCTTATCTGTAAAGTCAACAGTAATGACACTTTAAATGGTATAACATTAACATGTTGATAATGATATAGAGTGTGAAGCCATACTTATACTACTTGTTCACGATTTAAAATGGACCAAATAAGTATTTTGGCCTGCTAAATGATCTCAATTGCAGCTATCCATATTCCTTTGAAGATTAAAAACCCGACACATAGTTCTCCTGCATTTGAGCCATAATGTTATGTTATGTGCCAATATTACCCCTATTATGACTTCAAATTACCCCTATAATGACTTCATGGATTATTAAGTATTGTTAACTTGAAGATATTGTTTTTGAGTCATTAATGTAATTTATCAACTGTTGTTGTTGTTTATTTATAAAAATTTGTCATTTTAAATTAAATCATATTCAAGGCTGTTCTACCTAATCAGAGGTGACCACTTCCTTTCACAAAACTCATGGAGTTGATATTATCATAAAATATCATTAGAAGACTTCTATGACTATAATTTTGATTGTTCTTACCGCTTCGCTCGCCCCCTATCACAGAGTCTCCCTTATTAAGATACAATTAAAGGGAGATAAATCCATTTTTCAAAATGGCGACAACGTTAGTGTCGGATGAGAATGTGGTTGTTTTAGATGGTGGAACTGCAACTCAACTGATTGAAATGGGATATGATAAGCTAAATGTGAGCATCTCAATTTGTTTTACGTATTGTTACGTCTATTCTCAAAGAGTGACAGTGCCAGATTACATTTTGACAGGAGATATTTTCCAGACGACGTCGTAAATATAATCAATAAGGCCCTACCCACTACTGTTATCTCGCTCTATTTGCCACACTTAGACAATTGATAATTACAGTGAAAATGCATGTATCGGGATTTCGTTCTAGCCAAAATCAATCATAAACTTCAGAAAATGTAATCTTCATAATACAAAAAAAATATGCTGTAAATTGAAAGTAGTATTAGGAAAGTCAAGGCCGAACGCTAACTCAATGTCAAGGACACTCGTGTAACTCTACAAACTAACATCAATGTAAAAACTTTGAAAACCATTACATAGACTATGTCATCAATAACAGAATACAACTTTGAAAACCATTACATATCTCATCAATAACAGCATAAAACTTGAAAACCATTACATATTTCATCAATAACAGAATACAACTTTGAAAACCATTACATATTTCATCAATAACAGAATAAAACCTGAAAACCATTACATATTTCATCAATAACAGAATACAACTTTGAAAACCATTACATATTTCATCAATAACAGAATAAAACCTGAAAACCATTACATATTTCATCAATAACAGAATACAACTTGGAAAACCATTACATATTCATCAATAACAGAATACGATATCAATATCTTTGAATTATTCGAGGACAATTTGATGTCTTCGGATCTCTTCGGCGCATACAATGGAAACATATTTTTTCTGACCAAGGACACGTTTTCGTGTTATATCTGCACCTGTCTATGTTCCTAAATAGAAGCTCAAAATTGCCAACTTGGCCTACTGTGGCTAATTTGTAGCTAGATTTGAAAATTTTCCTTTTGGCCTAGAGCCAAACATGTTTGATGCTCTGGATAGGTTGGTTATTTCAAAAAGAACATTGTCATTAGGCCTATAGACCTATCAATGCTTACAAAATACAAAAGAATATGAAGCTCTGGGTCCTTTGGTGAAATAGTGCGCGACATAGGCTAAATGCATAGGATTGCAAACAGGTTTACTTGCTTTATAATAACACCATTGCTATTTCGTGAGATAACGCTCATGGTTTTTTTTGTGAAAAATCCCACTTCCTTAAATATACTGTATATTTAATTGAAGATAACGTTATCAGTAAAATTATTTTTAATTTCAGGATGATCCATTATGGTCTGCTACACTTCTTAAGACTAATCCCGATGAAATCAAGAAAGTTCACAAACAGTAAGATTAGATTGATGAAACCCTGGAGTGTTATTTGAGTACACTCATCTTTCTGATATGACAGAAGGGTTCGAGTTTGTCGTTATAATTTAACTTGGAGTTCGAGGTTGGATCCCTAGATGTTTTTAATTTGGAAGCACAAAAAAAACTGTAATCATCTTGCAAGTTTGACACAATATTCGAAAAAGAAATCATCACAAATAACACACTGGATTTCCACGCAAAACCATTCAAATGAATGATCTCAGACAGTGTCATTGTCCGCTGTAGCCTATAAATCGAGTTCACACTACGCCCGCATCATTTAAATCATTCCTGCAATAGATAAGCTCTAAATTCCACATCGAGCCCCCTTAAGTTCTCAGCCCGGTATTACGCTATATATACATGTCGAAAATGTAATCGCAACCGTAGCTCGAAAAATGTGGCCCTGTCCAGTTTCTCAGACGTGATACTATGCAAATGGAATATCACTAACGTTCACGAGTGGATTATAACATCTATTTATCAGGTCTAAAGAACTACGTAAGGAAAAAATTGTAGGTTCATCGCAACCCTGGAAAACCCATAAGGATATCTAATAATATCAAATTATGTATATCAGACCCTAGACTCTTTTTGTCGTAGGTTTTACCAAGCTGGAGCCGATATATCTATAACAACATCTTATCAAGCATCAGTAGAGGGATTTAAAGAACATCTTTGTCTTACTGAACACCAGGCAATAGAACTGATTAAAGATAGTGTTAGACTAGCTAGATCCGCTGCTGATGAGGTTGAAAAAGAACAAGGTATGTTACACATCATAAGAAATCAATCGACACGTAGTCACCCACTTGAAATACGTAAGTAAAATGATATGCACATGCAATTAATGTAATAACCGTTGTGAAAGTTACAGTTGAATGCCAGGAGTTCTTGGGAAGTGTACTCAAGACCCAACAAGGCATCAATGAAGATAACATCATATTGCACTTTTGAAGAATAAGCTTCAGAACTGACGAGGCTAAAACACGAGGTACACTATCCGTATACAGTGTCCAGCAACAGTCAGTTCAGGAGTTTTATGTCCTACTTTTCTGCACCATGTGGACTAACGAAGACTGGAAACGCTATGCAGGGTACGATGAGGAAAATGTTGCCAGGACAGTGGCATTAGCCTGCCCTTTTTCGATTTCCAACTGCCGAGGGATCTTTAACGTGTAGCACACGGGGATTCGGTTTATTGTCCCATCCGCACGACTAGACGCTTTTTCCATGTTAGCCCTTTTTACCTACAAACCGGGTTGAAAAATCCTAAGGTATCATCTCGACCTATGCGGTGATTAAACCCTGGACCTAAAGGTCAAGCGTCTAACTCACTTAGCCACCGCGGCTCCCAGAAAAAACATCAAGAGAACAAAAGGAAGCTGTTGCGGTCAGGACCCTGTTCGTGGTTATACGTTGGCATGGCGAATCAAATCTGTTTTCAGACTTGGGCATAATAGAGGCTTCATTTTTGTCCAAATTTGATGAGACTTAGTAACAAGTTGATTTTTCAACTTATGAAGCTAAGATTTTTTTCATTACAGGACGGAGATGTTATGTGGCCGGTTCTGTAGGACCATATGGAGCATGTTTACATGATGGATCAGAATATAGTGGCAATTATGTTGACGCCATGTCACTTTCAGTAAGTCTTCTTATTCAAAGAGCTCTTCTCATGCTTTCGATACGTATTCCACGTGTTATCTTCACACCCATTTGTTCCTATGACGAATAACAGATGAACCAAATGTGATAATATTTCCATTCCGAAAATTTGATAAAGACAGCTGTAATTGATCTTTACTGGCTTGGAGAGCAAGAATGTATTTTGTATCTTTTTAGGAGCTATCATCCTGGCATCGTTCCCGACTGAAAGCTCTGGTAGACGCCGGTGCTGATTATATAGCCATTGAAACCATTCCAGCTTTAAAAGAAGCTAAAGCAATTTTAACAGCTTTAGAAGAATTTCCCAATTCCAAGGCATTTGTCAATTTTTCCTGCAAGGTAAGACAATAAGTCTGACACGGAAAAAGCGTCGAGTCGTTCGGATGGGACAATATACCAAGGACCCAATATACCTTCATAGTTAGTAATCGGCAAAAAATGAATACGCTAATGTTGCTGTCCTGACAAAATCTTCCCAATTGGACACTGCTTGGCGTTAACTGACGTCTTTAGCTGAACCAAACACAGTAAAGTTAGACTTAAAAAACTTCATTCGATTTAAAAAAAAATTATTTTAGGACGGAATGTCTACTTGTCATGGTGAGAAGCTAGCTGATTGTATACAAGCAGTGTTTGAATCAGACCAAGTTATAGCTAGTGGTATTAACTGTACACATCCTCAATATATTACATCTTTACTATCATCTCTACCATTAGATACTCCCCATAAACCTTATATAGTTAAACCTAACAGCGGAGAGGATTGGTTTCCCGGTAAAGGGTAAGTAAAGCCAGGAATGAAGTTCGGTCTACTCAGTATCTGTACCAACAGTGTATTGTAGTTTGCAGTCAAAAACCACCCTGCCAGTCGATGGGTAGGTTTTTACCTTCTCCATACAACTCCTTAAAATAAGCCTACCTTTCGACTATATCGTGTAATTTCTTTTATAGTTGGTGTACACGGGATAAAAGTCTTCACTTTCTGTCTAAAATGGTAGAAGACTGGATCAAACATGGAGCTAACTGGATTGGTGGATGCTGTCGGATCTTTCCAGCCGATATTAAGGATATACGCCAAACTTTGGATGCGAATCCTGACATTTCCTTGAAGGGGCCTGAAGTCTAATTAATAAGATCTCATCGTCTCATATGCCGATACATTGTTTTCGATCTAAAGTACCCATGAAATTACATTAAGGTCCTACTTTTCTGCACCTGATTGTGCAAACGTCATGCAGTGTACAATGTACAATTGAAAGGATATTTGCGTGTATACTTTCCAATATGTATGAACAAAGTAAACGAATGTTATAAGTGTATGCATAATTGTTGAAACGTGTTTATATTTTTTTGGAAAAATACCAATGTTTGGATACAAAATGATGAAATTAAATGTCTGACTGGCTTAATAATATGCTTACGTTCTAAAAAAAAAAAAAAAAAAAAAATACCATAGCATTACAGTGACGTTTTGGTTAAGTCAGATTAGCTGCCTCTAATGAAGCTTTGTCCCATCTATTTATTGATAAGTTTAACAACCATTGGTCGACCTGATACAACAGACCATTCACCTTGGGTGAAGACCAAATCTTTGATAGCCTTATTTTATTTATTAACAATATTATTACACATTGCGACAAAACAACCTATAGATGGATTCTTGGTCACTGATGCGATATAGCCCGACAAATCTGACCATACCCTTTCCTCAATTGTGATATATAGAATAGATATCGGGTACACCTTTACAAAGATCAATATTTAAAAAAATCGTTCAAAAATGTAGGTGCACATGGACTACGGCAAATTCTATCAACACAATCTGCATTGAGTCAATTCGACACTCGGCTCGGCTTAACTTTTATTCAATATGTTCATCCGTTTGTCCTGACAGGTGCATATACTTCTAGGGTCAAAATTTAAAGATGAGGGCAGGGATCGGCCACTAGGCTATACAGTCTTGCTGCCAATTCTTTTACAGGCTGCCGTTCGACAACTATCCGAGATAGAAAGCTGAAATTTGCACTGAAGGTACACACCTATCTGAAGTTGTAATGTTCCAAATTTCCTACCGTGAAAACTCTGCCAGTTGCAGCACTTTTAGTCTCAGACTTTTTCCCCAAACCAAAACCTCTCAGGCAAAAATTGGCCGAGTTATTGGTGTGGGGTTGGGGGTCTGACACATCAGTATACAGATGATTAGCTGAATATAACCAACTAATGCACGTGGGATGCTGTGATATTTGCTCATCGAATGAGCTACATATAAAGATCGCATGAGGCAATCAAAACTTCTCTATTTAAATCTTAAGAAAAACTGGGTCATAATATTTGTTTTGATGGCATTCTATCTCTTCTACCAGTAATTTCAGAATACCAATTTTACGTTCCATTTACCGACAGAATTGACGACAGTTAAAGTAACCAGACAGCTAACTTTTTTCTTGAATTTCATACACATGAAACGTCGGAAAAAATTTAAATGGTGCAAATTGATGCAATCAGCATGTCATGATACATATAAAAAGTTTAGAAAACCTCTTAACAATCCCTTAAAGATGGGTTTCCTTATTTTTTAGTGTCAAATTAGGCAAACTATTTGATTAATTGGTGTTTCTAATAAATTATCATGTATTCTTAATCATTTCATTATGCTCTTATTGCATATAACTAAAAGTTCTAACCAATCAAAAATGTCTGTGTTTGTACAGTCTGGATAAACCTACCTTCTGGTAGCTCATCTTCACAATGTCCAGCTGGTAGGTAGGTAGATTACAAGTTAACGTTCGCTTCCAGCGAATGCTGATATTGCAAACTAGGTAGTTGTTGGTAGTCGTAGTACTAGTAGTTGGTAGTTGGATTGAACTTGTCAAGCTATAACGTACTGTGTTTTATACCTTGACTCCAACACGGAATGCAGGGATTTGATTGGATTACTAGCCTGATTAGAATCCTCGACAGAAAGTCTTAAACAATAAGCCATAATGTTTGCAGTCTTTCTGTCGAGGACTCTTATTGGCTATATTCTCTGACGTACAATCCAATGGAATTGCTACATTTCCTGATTCAAGAAAGGTGGGTATAGCTATAAATGTATAAGAAGAAGTTCGTATTGGCTTGATTTTGTGAAGATGCAGTATTAGATGACTGAACCCCTTGACGAAAATGAATATCAAATAAAAAAAAACGACTCAAACAGATAAAATTGATTTATATAGAACGTTTAATTATACATCAGAACAGAAGGGTCGAGCAGGTCTTCTCTGCGGGATGACTCTTCCATTACCTCCCAGATATCTAAAATGTAACCTATACATCGTAAATATTCTTTTTGGTGGGCAGATCTCGTCATCATTCAACTTCCGTAAAGTACACGCATGCGCTTCGCCTCTTCCCACCATACCAGTTAAAGTATTCCAATAACTCTGTTGTCCGCCATTTTTAAATCCCTGGCACAATTGAGGATTACCTTCGTAGATGCAATCGTAAGAATCGGAACCCTTTTCGCAGATGATGTGAAATCGTCTTGATCCAGTGATAAATCTTGAACATACTGTGTAAGAACACTGGTAACCATCTTGTGGATTGTAAGGGAGGTCACCCTCTACGCCTGTTCTATTCCAATAGGCACCTGAACATAGAGTGACAAGAGTCACTAACACTAGTAAGACTTTCATCTCGTTAAACCCTGAAAGTAATAAAAACGTGGAATTTATCAGAGGATTGGTTTAAGGAAGTTTGTTCGTGTATCCAGGGAATTATATCTTCTGTTGGAATCATTCCAATTCTTTTGCCAGATGTCTTTGGTTGGAAATGCTTTGCCGTATGTGTCGTCACTATGGCGAAAACATTACCAAAACATTGAATATCAATGCTATTGGAGTTCCCGATACATATTAAAAGTAAAGATGACCTCGGTACAACCCCTTAAAATGAAACTACTGCTAAACTAGAAACAATATATTGATTTTACCCTAGCCCTATTGATATTTGTACAATAAATTTAAATTCATTGGAATCTGCCAAATATTGAACTGGGTGATTTTCAACACTAAATCCAATTCACCGACAAAACATTCGCACGGAAACCACCTATGATTACGATTGATATGATAATTATGAATAAGCATACAGACATGAAAAAGTAAAATCGACAAAACTTACCCATTTTAACTCAGACAACAAAATAATGTTGGTTAAATCCTTGTACATATATAGTCTTCTAAACCGGATTTCAGTTGAAACACAAACAACAAGATGTGAATCATGCACTGCATACAGAATTATTAAAGGGATTGTAAAGAGGTTTTGTAAAATTTGTGTTATTGCTTAAAGATAAAAGCTTATCATTATTGAAAGGGACAAGTAAGCCATTTTTGACCAATCATACTTTAGTCTCAGAAACTGGAATTTCTTTAGCTGAGCAAATCAGTAATAGTGCGCACAGCTCACCTTCAAATCCATTGTGTGTCCAGAATTATCTGCGATTGAATGTTAAATGATCACTCGTCATTTTAAGATTCTCTGTGATAGAAAAGACTTATAGAAATAGTGAGTAAAATTCCTAGTTTGAAGTATTTTTAAGTAATTATCTGATATTCGTGAATTTCTAGTACTGCCTGCCAACATGGCACACAGGTATGACTTTTTATGATGATTTTACCAATTTTTTTTTCAAGCAGATGGGTCCTATTTCCAGGAGAGGTTAATGGGGTCATATCATATTCATTAACACGAAAGTATGGCTAACATTACGTAACTATCGTGTCTATTTCCCGTTCAATATCAACACTTGTAATTCAAGAGTTGGCTTGAATGGTATTGTCGATAGAGACGTAATAATGGATACTTTTTGAGTAAAACGACATTTGAACAATCTGCAAAGTTTGTTTATTTGCCCAGAGCCGTTTTGTTGACACTACAATTTTCGCCAGTCCTTGTTTAAATATAAAAGGATATTTCAAACTAGAACAAGGATTTCAATTTTTATAATCCAATAAAATACGGTACATAATATGTTTACATCAAAATATCACCATTTAAGTAGGACGATTCAACAACAAAAAATTGTTTCAACAACGCAATTTATTGTTTTGGTTAAAACGTTTAAAATTAACGACATTTTTCTCATTATATAGAATTTGTTTTAGAATTACTTCTTAAATAAAACTGTCTGTATATCATATGTTATATACAAGCTATTGAAAAAATGGTTTATGTGAGCGCAAAGATACATTCTAAGGGCTTTGGTTTTCATTAACTTTACACCCGTTTGGCAACTCTTCTAAACATATCTACAGAGGCAATGAAGATCCAGCTCGATTGAGTAACTTAGTGTTGAAATTTAAATTAATGTTTCTGCTACGGGAACTCGTGGTTTACGAAAAACGTCATATAAAACGTAAAAGGTCTATTGCTGTTGAGTAAACACATATGCTGAATATCAAAGAGATAATCTGTTTGGATTTAAACTTAAATAACTTGGTATTAATATATTAAATGATACAATATATATGCCATTTGTATAGTTTCTGTACATTTGTCTGGCGAACAAAAATCGTTTAAAACATCAAATGTAAGCATTGCTGTTTTAATGTAAATTAATTGTTTGGACTACGGACTTATTCCTCTACGTGTGGGTATACAGTTTAAAATATTTCACGCTCAAAGCCGTAAAAGAATATGGAAAAATTCAAATTGCTCCTTTAATGATTTGACAATGCTCAGAAATAAAGTTTTCGCGAGCAACGTTGTGGTAATTTCCAGGCAGTGGTTGAAGTAGGGAATGTTCTAAGCCAATAAAAGCAAGGCTCTGTACAGGCACTTCCACATCCGGTTTCACAACATTTGTCTAGCCCGTCACAATCGAGATCCGAGAAACATTCTCTGTTACATGTACGTCTGGAAAATCGTGTATGCCATGGACATGACCCAGGCTTCTGTATATTTCCTGAAAAGAAAAATAATACAAAATGTTTCAGCATAATTAAAACTTTATAAAAATGTCGTCCCAAACTAACAGTTATTCAATAAAAGGTTCGACATTTTCGGGGATAGATTTGGATCTTGGATTTGAATGTATATAGAACTGCACGAAAATCGCAAAATTCCTCCAAATATACTTCAAACAAGAAAGTTTACTTTCTTTTCCTATAGAGTATGTCAAAGAAAAAAGACGAGTCGTCATGTTAACTTTCAAACGCGAATAATTCTGAACACACATATATTTTAAGGCTCAAATTTTGACAATGAGTTGAACTGAATTATAACTGAATAGCTGAGCTAAAAAAATCCTGTTTCTGAGACTAAGGATTATCGGTCATGACGAAAGCGTTCCTTTAAAACGTCCTTTGTTATTTTCATGTTCCACAAGTCTGTGACACATCGTTATACTTATTAAAATCTGAAAATAATATCAAAATTGTTGATATAAATGGCTCAATTAAATATTGGGTTATTTATTATTGAGAGTGAATGAATGTCTGCATTTGGAATAACAAAAGTCGATACCACGGTGAACAACCTGTAAAACATCAGATCTATATGGGGGCTAGAAAAGTGGTTAGTACCCTGAACAATCTAAAATTATTGTACTATACTTTGAGAAGCCATAATATATAATTAATCACATTGAGACCATAAAAACATACTGATATTCTCGGCAATTTAATCATACAAAATATTAATGTATTCTATGTGGGGTTTCTTGTCAGTGTCTGAATAGACTTATATAATTCGAAATCAAAAATGTCCGTTGTGTAAAATAATTATTTTAATTGCAGAGATAGGAGATTTCACACTGAGAATGCTGGCCGAGTACCGGAATATGATAATAATTGATAAGATCGCTGCCAACTAGGACTAGGCCGAAAAGAAATGGTTTATTAAAATCAAATGCTTTTTAATCAATCCAATTCCATATTTCAGTCAAGTGTGTCCGAAGAGCAGCATTTAACAAGCGTCAAGTCTGTCTATAGGCTACCTAACAAAGTTTACTTCATTGCACACTGCGCGGTATTGCTTGGATTGCCGTAAGCTATGACAAAAACTTTCATCTTTTACACTGATGGAAATCGAAAATTACAGGCGTTTTGCATGAAATTGTTCGATCGCTAGGCCCTATCTAAAAACACAATGATTAGAATAGATCAATGACGCGGCCATGTCTAAATATACCTAATTGTACACTGCTTGGCGTTATTTGTTTCCATTAATTTAACAACGCAGAGAGATTTAAAATTATTTTGAAAAAAATAAGCTCGTGTCTTTCATCCATTAATGACAGTGTCAAATGATTTATGATACAAATTAATTAACTAATATTTCAAAATTATGTAATAATATTATAAATAAATATTATCTCTTGTTAATTTCTTTTCCTGTTTCATGTATTTTAGGCCTGAAAGAAACGTTGTATATATTATGTTATATTAATCAAATTAAAAGTGAAAGCGGAAGAGTGATTTTGAATTTAAATTTTATCCAAATAGATATATTTGTAAATGCTAAATTAGAAAAATAATATAGTTAAATAATTCAACTTTAAAGATGGGATCCCTTATTTTCATTTATGAAAATGAAAATGCTACTACTTATATGAATAGAAAGTACAGGTGTTCTAATGACTTGGAAAAATACCAGATGGTCTCACATGTTAATTCATAATTAGCTAAATTCGAAGATAATTACCAGCAGAATTCCAATGAGTGACCGATCAAGAAAGGTCAAAAAGTCGTTTTTGTTTATCCAAACTACATACTTTGACAAATATGATTGGTTAACTGTTAATTATATGCAATAAGAATACGATATGATTAAGAATACGTGATAATTCATTAGAAACACCAATTAATCAAATAGTTTGCTTAATTTAACACTAAAAAAATAAGGAAACCCATCTTTAAAAATAATATTGCTAAATATTTCATATATACGTATACATGTATATACAATATTGAAAATATTCTAAATTTATAGAGGATATTTTAGGTATATTTTTACCCAAACGCTATCCAACCAGTCTATATTCAACTGATAATGAATATAAATTGTATATCATAATATCATGAAACTCTACGAGTTTGCCGTGTTTGGCATTGGCATTTAAGGGGACAGTTTCGCCATTAATTTTACCAATCGTAGGCCTGTCTTAGTCTCAGAAATGGGCATTTTAGCTAAGCTAAATAATGGTGATGACTGTGCGCCGTCGAAATTTGAGCGTTCAAATCTTTGTGTGTCCAGAATTATCCAAGTTTAAAAGTTAAAACGACTCGATTGTTCTTGAGACTCATATTTAGAAAAGACATATATAAAAATAAAATGTGAAATTCCTAGTTTAAAGAAGGTATTTTGATTTCCATACGTCATGTCTAGTCCTTTCTGAAGATGAATCTGTCCCTTTAAATCTTTTCCATAGGCTTAATATATGGATTATTATGTCCCAGATTCCGCCTTCATGTTATATTTTTGAATTAATCCTTTAGTTGATGACAGATTGTGGTCAAAGGTCAATCTTGCGACTTAATATAGTATTATAAGGAAGAATGATTTCTTGTAGATTGTCAAGATTATCATATCTTGGTCAATGAATACAATGGATAATTCTAATATGAGATCTATTGTCAGTGAATTGTCGTCAGCTAAAAGGTATACAGGTGTCAAGTATAATATATTGATTCCAGATATCCCGTAACATTTTTCAAGATAGAAATATAATTCAATATGAATTTCTGTAATGGATGGAAGTGACAGCTGACTTGGTCTCAATTTTCAGGACTTTTGATACGCCAGAATTATTTGTTTCAGTTAACGTCACTTCCGGAATATTATGTCAAGCTATACTAGGCTATCGTCAGAAATTTGTTCTTACGAATATGTCTTCTGCATATTGCCCAAAGAACTGTCTATGGCTCGAGCCTATTCGACATCACACACCTTTCATAAATCAATGTAATTTTCTTGATACTTACTTGGGCGTTTGCGCTTGCACGTATGACCACAACCATTGAAGCAACAAAATTCGTTAGCTCTACAATCACCATTGGATCTACATTGTTCTATACAGGGTCCGTTCGATGTCTGTCCCGGACAGTATTCGTTCACTGCACTTAATGCAAACGGTATGTCGTTTGTAGACAAATCGAAATCAGCTTGATTTGTAGAATCTGAAATAAGTAGATCATCTATTATGCGATTCTGCTAAAGGTCGAGATAATACTGGTTTCCCTCTTTCAGTTATGCAGGTCTGAGGAAGGGAAGTATTAAATCAGGAAGCAGAGTAGGGAGATAAAGGGTAGAGTGACAAGGTGAAGACAGATGTAGAGTCATTGGTAAATGAGGGTAGTATAGAGAGGTAAGGAGGAACAGTTGTAAAGCAGGGACAGTTCAGAGACGATGGTGGGGAAAGAAGGGTTGATATGAATTAGGCCTGAGATGACGATTGTAAAGGGGATAATCAGGAAGTGAATAGAAAAAGGGTGGTGCCTGAGGGACCTCCTATTATGCTGAGAGATACTCATTGTATCTCTGTGCAATGCTTCGGATTACAGTGCTCAAAAGACTTATTATGGGTTGTCGTCTATTTTTTATCGTTTTGACACTGTCGTGCTGATTTGACTAAAATTGGTTATAAAAATATTTCATAAGTAGCCTCAATAGTCAAATTACATTGCAAAGAATTACTTCCTTTGATATCAAAAGTATATAAAACGTCACTATTTAAATTATAAATTTTGATACGATTTTGTTAAATTCGGTAATTATAGAGATCGTCAAGCATTGAATTGAATTGAAGAAATTGAATTTCGAATTGTTTACCTGTTCCTGAAAGACTAGAGTCTGGATACATTTAGTTCGTGAGATATTTGGCAAATTATGCTGTTTGGTTTCTTAAACCTGCGTGGGCGTTTTTTTTACAAGACACCATTGAAACTCCCGAATTAAAATATCAAAAAAATCATAAAACTGAGATCTAATTAGTTATAGCTGAGATCATTCTGACTGAAATTGTCATTATCATACTTGATGTAGTCGAGATCATTCAGACTGAAAGCCTCATAATCATAGTAGGCATCATAGCATTGATTTTTTTCCGGTCAGCATAATGACTTGGCCTAAAGAAGGGGGCGTGACAGTGACAGTGACTTGATTTAACACTAAGCAGGCTTCTCCTATTTATTTTAATTTTTTGTTCAGCTATTCAATAAAAATTTTGTCCGTGTGGTATTTTGAATCGAAAACTAACTAAAATCAAGTTCTTACTCTCTAAAATTCAAAATTAAAGATCAGAAGCGCCCAGTTTAATATTTCGGCGTAACTACACATACTTCCTACACCAAGGTATGATTCTCGTTGCCGCTTACAAATTTGTGTCCTTTACACAAAGTAATGGCAGAGATGTCTTTATCAATACCAAGGCATCGCATTCGCAGAATATAATACAACATGAATTACTTGCCTACACTGACACAGACTTGATATCGTGGACAATTTCCATATCGACACTCACTCTTCTTCCAGGCACATTGTTGATTCATGGGGCACCATAAATTCTGAAATAGACGAACAGTTTCGATTGACTGTTGCGTAAGGTGTTGCGTAAGGATTTGTATGGTCATTAAATGTACGGCCGCAGCGAGCTGTATCAACTTGCTTTTTAATACGTATGCATTCTTTTTGGGTCAAAAACGTTTAAAAAGCCAATTTTTGAATCGATTAGACCCCCCCTTCCCTCGCACTGTCGCCGCCAATGTACTCATATACGAGTTCAAAAAAGAACCATGTAATTACTATTTGATTTTTTATCAGACAATGAATTGCTTCATGCTGCTGTAATTGTAACCTAGAACAAAGTAATTGAGATTTATATTATTGTTTGTTTTATATGGATTGTTTGCTTGAGAATTGATGAACATTTTATTTCTGAAGGTTGATATTTGAATTTACCCATTCATAACGACTGCTTTAATCTGTTGAAATATCACAT